AATGTTAATATTATCAATAATATAAATTTAAAAAAAAAATAACATATTATTATTTTTAGTTGCTTGTGAGCTTTTCGAGTCCGATATAAATTAGTTTGTTTCGGTTCGTTAAAAGCTCGAGTTAAATTTGAGTCCATTCAATTCGATTGTTGACCGAATTGAATTCAATTAGCTCAAAATTTGAATGAAAGGTGATCCCTTAAAGCTAGTGACCGTTCAATACAACTCTAGATTCCACGATCGAGCAACCCTCCTCGATCGCACAAATCAAGGATCTTCATCCAAATACTAACAGAAAACGGGCATTCAAAGAAAAGATGATCACGCGATTTCGCGTTCACACCACATGACACACACAGATCAGCCACTGCCATTCCCATTCTAAGCAACCTATTAAGTGTGACGAGCCAAACGACCACGATGTGTTTTGGAACATATAGCGGGAACTCTCATAATGTCGTGTAAAGAAGAAGCATCACTTCTCAAAGAAAATAACTCTCTAAGACTCCAATTAATTGAGCTTTTAACCTCAAGTGACAAAAAATCCTCATTCGCTAAAATACTCTTCATCAACCAGAACAAACATGTCTTGTTTCAATAATAAAGACTATTAAGGGTTAGGCCTCCTTCAGGCCTCGGTAACCAAATACAGTTCCAGCTCACTTTGGCAACTGAAGTAGAAGTATTTTGGGTTGTAATTATTATAAGTATCTTATTAAATAAGTATTAAACTGTATACTTTAATCCTTCTACTTCTGCAAAATTGCAAGCCTTACGCCGTCTTCTGCGTCTCCTTCCTTCTACTCTCTTTGGCAACTTTTGGGTTTCTCTTTGTTGGAGCTTTTAAGGATTCTGCTTTTCTCAACATTTATTTCAAACTCATTCGGTGAGTGGCTTTAACGCAATTGGATTATCTATTTGCTTTTGACCCATTCTTTGTCTTTAAATCAAATCCAATGTATACTTGAAAAGAAAAATAAAGCAAGATTTTGTTCCCTAAATTTTAGTTACTGGAACACTAGCGCTTCATTCATGTATGTTTCTTGTTGGGTTCTTTGAACCGTATATTTTAGTGATGGAAGCACTATCAGTGGCTGACTAAAAGCTTGATTCTGGGTTATTTCTGAGCAAGAAAATAGGGTGCTTTTTTCAGCTCTTCATCATGCCCTTGTAGAATCCATTGTTAAGTACTCGGTTCGAGCAGTTGTGTCCGTTCGTTGTTTATAGGCGAAGAAAAATTCTAAACAGATACTCACTCCAGAGTATTAAAAAAAATCATGCCTTTGTATGAGCTATATCGGATGGCTAGGGGGACGCTTGATTCATCTGAAGATAAGAGCCCTTCAACTTCCACTGATTTGTCTTCTGTGTAAGTTTCATATATTTTAGCTTGGTTTCTCTATGTGTTTTTAACATTTAACTTCGTTTATTACATGTTATTCAATCACACGTGTGTTATTTGATTTGCAGACCTGAGAATGACATTGTTGAACTGGTATGGGAAAATGGTCAAGTTTTGATGCAAGGTCAGTCTAGTAGAGGTAGAAAGTTTCTTTCTTGTAACAGCTTACAATCCCACACTTTTAAGACCAGAGATAAAGATGTAGGAAACTGTGGGAATAATACAAAAATGGGAAAGTTTCGGGTGATGGGCTCTGTATTGAGTAAAATTCCGATGTCGGTGCCGTCTCATGATGATGATGAAATCGTGCCTTGGCTGAAGTACCCCGAGAATCAATCTTTAGAGAACGAATGTTCTGGTTATTGTCAGAACTATCCGAGCTTACTGCAGATGGGATCCCAACTCATAGTAACTTAGCATCGGTCGATAGGAATCGACAATCCATTAAAGATTTGTTTATTATTTCTCTGAATGATGCTGCCGGGTTCGAACAAGGAATGCTGTCAAAGGTTCCTATACCCGCAGATGATGAAGCTAGGCCTAGATGTGGTACCAGCCAGCCGTCGCAGCCATGTCAAGCGTCTTCTCCATATTTTAGATCAAGAAATTTGGAGAGTATTGGTAATAATCTGAGCCATACGTTCACCGACCATGCCATTTGCAGAGATTCAATGGGAGTTAAACCTTCAGATGATGCTTTCCCTGGAATTAAGATGCAGAAACAAGATCTAGTTGCACCTTGTAATAATACTGTCTTGATGAATTTTTCCCATTTTTCACGTCCTGCTGCTCTTGTTAAATCTAGTCTTCAGAACATAGGTGCTATGGCTAGGATTGAGAAGAATGGAAGTAAGGAAAAGGGGATTGGTGCCAGTGTTAGCGACCGTGTTGATTCCCCACTCATTGATTCAAATATTGAGCTACAGAAGGAAGAAATTTCTCATTGCCATTCTACAATAGTGCCAGCGAAGACTGATATAAAAGAATCTAAAGTTAGGTCTCAAGATATACCAGTTGCCACCGAACAAAATGGTGCTATTGGTGAAGAAAATGTGCTGGAAAAAGATAAAATCACTAGTCAAGTTATTGGTGAAAATGCATCTAAACGTCTGCCGCATAGTGATACAGCTGTAGAGTCTGTGCTTGCTGCTTCCTCTGTTTGCTGTGGAAATAATGTAGAAAGAGCTTCTGACGATTCAGTAGTACATAATTTGAAGAGAAAAAACCGTGATGACGAGGAGTTCGAATGTCCTAGTGAAGTAAGTTATAGAGCATAATTTTATTTTGCGTTGCTGTGCTTTTAACTATTTTTTTCACTTTCCAATAAAACCAAGTAACCAACTTACATGTGTAGGATGCTGAAGAAGAATCTGTAGGTGTGAAAAGAGCAATTCATGCTCAAGGTCGTAAGGGTCTAAGAGAAGTCGAGCAGCAGAAGTGCATAATTTATCTGAAAGGGTGAGGAAGTGCATTTGATTAGTTCAATAATTCTAAATTTTTCTTTCATATGGATGTGTCTTAATTGTAAGATCTTGATTCACAAATGGAGGCGAAGGGATAGGATAAATGAGAAGATGCGTGCTTTACAGGAGCTCATACCGAACTGCAACAAGGTTGGCAATTCGTTTAAATTTGTTTTTGTTAATCTTTTTTAACTAATTCAAAGGAGTTTTCTTAGAAACAGATATTTATTGGATTAGTAGTTTAAAACAGATGGCTTATTCATTCCTCTTGAATTTGACTGCATCTTAGTTAATTCATGAGACATGATTATATACTTGTATAGATTTGTGATTGAACTAAAAACAGACCAACAAATGTTAAGCTGTTGACTTTTCACATTTGACATTGCCAGGTGGACAAAGTTTCGATGCTGGATGAAGCAATTGAATATCTTAAGACACTCCAACTACAGGTGCAGGTAAGATCTTTGTCTTCTCTCTCCTAATTCCTTGCTCTTACTCTTCTTTTTGGCGAATATTTTGAATTTCGATTTATCAAATATCATCCTTACGCAGATTATGTCCACGCGACCTGGCTTATATATGCCACCGATTATGTTTCCAACTGGAATGCAACACATGCATGCAGCAGCTCATATGGCGCATTTTTCACCCATGAGAGTTGGAATGGGTGTAGGTATGGGTTTCGGGATGCCATTTCCTCAAATGAAGACTGCAGCTTCTGCTTGCCCTATGGTTCAAGTGCCTCCAATCCCAGGACCACCCTTTTCTGGCACCACTACACTCCATGAGATGGCAGGATCTAACCTCGAGTTATATGGGCTTCATGGTCAAGGACTTCTGACATCGATGCCCAGTGCACCTTTGATTCCGATTCCTGGTGAGCATCTCGTGAAATCAGCCCTTGGATTGAGTGGCAGTGGACTGGTAGTTCCAATGGACAATAAGGATTCAGCTACTGCTTCTAGTTCAAAGCATCCAATTCTGAACATCAACTCACAAGTGGCAGAGAACACCAACATCAATAGCTCAGTGAATCAGACATCTATTCAGGTTAGGAAATTTTTCTTGTTCCTTTTTCAAGTCAATAAAAAAAGGAGTTTCGAGTATTTGTTGAGGCGGGTTTTAGTTGCCAATGAGAGAAGGTTGCCTCAAGGCTTTTTATCTCCTCGGAGGCAAAAGATAACTATTTCACATAGTATAGAAGCATATCCTCAATGATATTTAATGTCATAATGGTTTCCCCTAGACAAGTTTATGGTAAACCTGTCGAATTTTCTTGTTAGGTTGGTTTAAGGGAACCTTTTTCCTTTCCATCAATGAAAAAGCTCTATGCTTCTTAGTTCTTGTAAAGCAGGAGTTGGAATACATACACACAAACATGCAGTAAGACACATTTATTACCTTTTGCTATATTCTACATAACACAGAGAAGGGTGTCGGATTCTATTTACTTGTCACTCATCTAAACATTTTGCTATGCTTTTTTTTAATGGATTCGGCTCTTGTTGTGGTCTGCCTGAATTTAATCAAATTTGTTATTGTTTGCGATGCCAGTGTCGGACAACAAATGAAAGTTTTGAACAGCCAGCTTAAGTGCAAGAGAATAGTCGAGCCTCGGAAATCACTAGTAGTGTTCCATTTAAATCCAACTGATGGAGATGATAAGTTACCTGATAGGTCATAGTACTTTTGCTTGTATATACGCATCGTGTTGTATCGAATTGTGTGTGAAGTATGAAACACTAAATATATATGCAACTGTAGGTTATAATTGTTAGCTTTTTGACCTGAAGATGGGAATATATTTGTTTCATATGCACATCAAATTAAAGATGAAAAGTATTCTTATAATTTCGTAATTAATCTGACATCCAATTAATCGATGACAACAACTTAATCTGTATAGATATATACACATCATCCATGCAAATAAAACGTGTATACAGCATATCATAACAAAACAATAGAAAAGGAAAGAAAAAAATGGATTCACTCGGCAAAAGGAACCAAAAAAATAAGAGTACACCTTTGTTGTACACGACAAATACACAAATCCATTGAAGGAATAACTCCCCCGTCAAGCTAATAAAATTTGAATAACATGCATAAAAGGAAACAAGATTGAGACTGAGTCAAGTGAACACAAGTTGAAGCCGGATTTCATTACTTTCAATTCATATCCTTCAAATATGTGACCCTAAAGTGCTACTGCATCTGCAGAGCAGACAGCAACAAAATAAAACATCAATCGGTCGGCGTACCTTCCACTAGGTCACCAAATTCCACTATGACATCTAAGGGTGACTGAATTTTATGTGGATTGAAATCAATACAGGCGAATGAGTGGGAAGAGAGAATATCGGGAGCCGAGGACAACAGCAAATAAAAACACACAACTTCGTAAAGGAGGCTGTCCAAAGTCGGAAATAATGTTATGTCAGACGCTCCCCGCTCCCCCCAAGTCCCCAAGGATGCTACTAGACACTTGTCACCTAGGATTGATATCTTTCGCTGCCGGAACTGCCGAAGGATAACCGGATAGATCCATGTCCATAAGTGACATATCATACGGCATTGAATAAGAATTTGAGTGGTCCATAAGCAGTGATGATTTTGTAACATCAGCACTTGCAGATTCAGGTACAGAGCTAGGGTTTTGGGGAGCGCCTGTACCATATGATGGGAGAGCGGATAGCTGAATATCCTCTAGTTTGTTAGGTATTGCGTGTTTGTTTCTTCTAGCTGCATCCATCTCGGGCCCAGTTGGCACAAAAGTCCTTGACCGGTACTTCCTTGTTCCTTCATCTCCATCATTATGGTTGTACAGTACATAATCATGATACGTTGGTGCAAACTGTGAATCCGATAAACAAATATCAACACCATTACAACCCTAAACAAAAGAACGGTCTAAATGAGGAACCTTTGGGAAATGGCACGAAGAAGGCTCACCTGGTGGACAGTATCATGATAGAAGTCATTCAACATTAAGGCATGTGCAAGGCTTCTTGTAAAATCACGACACACACCAATATTTGCACCAGCATACTCTTTATATGGAAATGCATAAAGATGACCTACGGCAGCTATAAGCATCTCAACACATATAAGGAAGTTTTGAAACTGAGCTGCTTCTTCAGCACCCTTTATAAATCCCGATTTTGCAGCAAGAAAAAACAGAACACCCTGAAAAAAGAAATAAATTTAGGGAAATTTTGACTTTGAGTTTCTTTCAGCACCTTTGAAACTAGATGGGGTTCAGACATGGTATGTTGCCATCACAGCAAAAGAGGTTATGCATAACCATCTGTACATGCATGCATTTCATCGGGCTTAATAGATGGTACAATGCCAATGCCGTCACAGCATAAGATGTGGTTTTCTAAAATGGAAGTAGCATCTGCCTGTGGAGAAACAAGAATGCAGCACTTCCAGAACTTCAAATTGCTTTCAAGACTTTACATCAGTGTAAAAGGGGAAAAGAAAAATCTAGAAAATTAGCTTCCCCTAGAAAAAATAAAAAGCATAAAGATAGTATCGATGTGGACAGCAAACAGGTTAGGAAAGGTTGCATTCTAGTATCTAGAAGTTGCCACCCCCAAGGTTGCTATAAAGATGCTATAAATATTTCTGATTAATGATCAGCACCAAAAAGAAACAAAAGGATGATGCAACAAAAATAGAAGAAAAGATAAAAGTATCTTAAAGCCAAAAAAGAAGATCTGTCTTCTTTTTTCTAGTTTTCACATGCACAAGCATGTAAGGAAGTAAAAGGCACACAAGATTTTACCTGCCAATAGGTTAAGAAGACCACAGATTTTATGATGATGAACTTCGGAACTGGATTGAATGGCTTAAGAAGATCTTTGCATGCCATGTAAAACAACACCAAAGCATACAGAGCCGATGTGTAAGAGATTGTGTAGATGATAGTAAGATATAGATATGACTGGTTTGGACTGAAATTCCCATCTTCATATTTTCCTTTGGCATATAATATGAGAGTAACAGCAACTAAAATGGGCTTCAGGATGACAAATTGCAGGCAGCCTTGCTTGCATCTCCGTATAAAGCGCCTACATTGCAGATTCAGGTGCAAATAATCAAATTTAAGCCGAGTTCATAAGAAAGTCCCAGTAAAATCTTTATTAAGTTTCCAATCAATCGTGACATTAAATACAGGAATTTGTTGTGTAGGGCAAATAATTTGTCTAAAATACACTTTCCATATTTTAATGATATCTAATAATGCTCCTCAGAGTATCCATAAGTCTCTTGATTATATTCATAGTACCTGCCTAATGATAAAGTTCTTCATTATATTTATATACATGATTAAACAAAAGATGCCACATTAGTTTAGGCCTTGATTTAAGACTTATGATGTTACACATAGCTGATAAGGTGTTTTCAAGTAATTAGGGTTACATGGTGTTCCTAAGTATACAATTTCGGATGAGGAAGTCAAATTTGTGAGACACTTTCTAGGATAAATGGGGACCCGATTGGACACATTTTGCACTTGAGAAATGGATGGGCAAACAAATTTTGTTAATTGGACTTTAGGTAATACACTAAGGTGTCTTGTTGGGAATCACGAAGATTCGAGATTGACTTAATCCTCAAGCTAAGTTCACATAGAACAACTCTGTGAGTAGGACAATTAAGAAGACACCTTTTGAACCTGCATATGGACCCAAACATCAACATGTGATTGATTTAGTTCCTTGGCCACTTGGAACTCGGGGAGAGATGATGGAAAAGTTTATGTTGATCATATGCCATGACTTTATCAATAGGTGAAAGGTTGCTAGAAAGCAAGCAATGATTTTTATGCTAACACAACTAATCTACAGTGTTGAATTAAGGAGTTTGAAGAGGAAACTTGGTTCTAAATTTGAGATGAGAGAGGTTTTTGAAGGGCACATATCCATGTTGAAGGCAAAAAAGTTTGGACCATGTGAGGTGTTAAAAAAATAGGCTCTAATGCTCCTGTGATTGAGTTGCCTTCAGATTTGCATATTGGCCTAGTTCTCAACTCTTCTTGTATCCTTTTGAGGGTTCTGATAGGGATGTTGCTAAAACTTTAGATCATGGATAGACTCTCGAAACAACCTTTTGACTGTTTGTAACTACACATCAAGATAATCATACCAGATAATTATATTGAACATCATATTATACAAAAAGATTAAGCTCTTTGAAATCACATTAAGAAAACAAAGTAAATTATTCACAGAATAATTAAAAAGCAAAATAGAAAAGCATGCTCAAAAACCCAAGAAGTGAAGTTTGGTAGTTCATTGCTCTAAACCATCGACAGTTATTGAATGTAAATGCCAAATCTAAATAATGACGAAAGTAAAGATGTTATTGATATAAGAAATGCCTATATCTGATACTCACCCATCTAGTGGTACAGGAGGCAAGCAGCATGTCATCAGAAACCAAGATGGCTTTAAAACTCGACCAGTCAAACTGAGCACAACTGCTCCTGGACCTCCAACCCATGCCAAGCAGAGAGAGAGAAAATTATAAATGACCCAAGCTTCATAGCTGTAACAGTTAAAAATGAAATGGTATTAGAAAATAATAGTTTTTTGTCCAATGATAGGCATCAAAACGCCAGCAAAACACGGTTAGCTGGCTACTAAAATTGAATAAAACAGGTTAACGATTAACAAATAGTATATCCTTACACCATCCTTAATCAATCAATCTATCAAATATCAATCCACATATACATGGCATAAACTTTTGAATAGGATAATGGATTAAACGAAGGAACTCGAAAACTATGTGCAATCGAGAAACCGATGATCAACTCAAACAGCCACGGTCAGAAAAACGTACCCCTCCCTGAAAGAATTGAAATAGATTGAACTCCGTGGTAAAACAAGGGACAAGAAAGACATTAACGCATAAACCTGTGAAATTTAGGCATCACGAAGAAGAATAAGGACTTAGGCACAAAGAAAATAAATCCAGTAAGAGAAAACAAAAAGCCCTATACACAATCATAATATAATAACAGTAAAAAGAAAAAGAAAATAACTGACCGGGACCATGAAAATGATGCGGACGATGTATCTCTGAAAAATAGGTTCCGTGTAATTCAAAAGATGCCTGTAGATGTGAAGAACGGCCAACCAAACGGCTCCGGCAGTACACAATAAGGCGAGGACGTCGAGGTAATTAGGAAATGAATCACCCATTTCTGAGACCCAATTCTAAGATTCTTCCATCTACCCAAAAAAAAACCCTAGCAGCGGTACATGGGAAGAGCAGTAAACAGGAAGGGAAACCCTAATGCTAAACCGATTGCCCAAATTACGATGGTGTTGGAATTGAATGGGGGAATTGACAAAAGTTAAACCCAGGCAGATCTAGGCTCTGGGTATTCTCTAAACAAGAAAGTAGAGGAAAAGAAAATGTGGGTCTTCAACAGCTGTTGATGATTGCTTTTCACCGGCGGTTCTTTAGAATCTTCCTTCAACACGGCTGGCAAAATGATTTCTCCCACTATTTTCTATGAACCCAAACAGCACACTAGAAGCATAGAATATACAATTGCTTTATATTGTGGGGATTTGGGATTAGGTTATAATTGCTTTTCTTCTTCCTTCCAATACAAACAATCCAACAAATTACCGTAACCGTAATTTGCATTACCAGCAAGCTAGGGTTCTTAATCAGTGTTTTCCAAATTAGAAACAAATTATTTTTTTCTTTTAATTTGTTAAATAGAATTTCCAGTTTTATATTTAATTAATTATCTTGATTTTTAATCCCAAATTTAAAACTTTACTAAATATATGTTTTCAAAAAATAATAGATAGATAGATAGATAAATGTGTTTATTTAAATTTAATCTTACATTTCTAAACTAGAAAAAGAATTATCCATACTTAGTTGTTATATTAAAGTATAAGTAATGGTGTTTTTCAAGGGGCTTTTACTAAAATATCACACAATTTTTTTAATATAATATCTATTTTTAATTAATTACTAAAATGATTTTTTTACAGGTGTATGATGTATCATATAGGTAAAGTTTAGGGATGTATGTTTGATCCGAATTTAATTGGTCAATTCTATTATATAATGTTCATATTTTTAGTTTTAAAATTTTGATATTGAGTCAGATTTTTGAATGATAATATCGGTCCTCTAAAAAATAATTGTATAATTAACCTTTAAATATTTAGGTATATTTGTTATAAAACACGCACGCACGCAAGCATATATATATATATATATATATATATATATATATATATATATATATATTCTAATTAGATTTTTATTTCACCTAGAAAAAATGAGAATTCATATATATATCATGTCAAATTCAAATTTAGAGTAAAAAATATAGGACCTCATACGAAAATAATAGTATAATTAATATTTATATATTTACAGATAATTGCTATAATGTATCTCAATTTTTTCAATTAGGTATTTATTTTACTTTATGTCAGATTAAATGTGTTTTTTTACCTTAAAAACGAATTGAATTTCTCATTCGGGTAAAACTTCCTTAAACCCTAGCCGGATTGATGATGGGTGAGAATGTATTATTCTTGAGTTTTATTTGGCTATGGTCAAAAGCTTGACCTGAACCAATCCATGACCACTTCTAATAACGATGTCTCCAATAATTGTAATTTCGATCCCTCTATAGGTTTTATTAAGCTGAATGTGATTATAAAGTAGTATCTATTCTAAGTACTCTCAATCATTTGACAATGAATACTCTATTATTCTTACAGTTGTTGGTACTCGAACCCGTGACTTCTAAGAAGAAACGATTTCTTTAACCATTGAAGTAAGTTAATTCATGCATATTACTTTAAAATTTAAGCCCATATACTTTAATTTCAATTAATTTTATATAGTTACTAAATTTCATAAAAATTAAAGTATTAGGATTATATTTTAACATTTATAGCAGTTAAGCTAACTGTCGAAGTTAAATTTTATAACTGTTAATTTTTAAATAATAAAAAATAAAAATTTAGCAGTACAAATTAAAGTACAAGAACTAAATTTAAAGAGTTAATTGTATCATATGTTTCCAAACTATTATTTTCATCTCAAATTGATCCTTAAGCTTTTAAATATTTTAATTTAATCCTCAAACTATGACTCTCACTCTAATTTATCCCTTAAACTTTGCATATTTTTAATTTCATCCCCAAACTATGACTCATTCTAAATTGATCCTCAAACTTTTTAATCTTCCAAATTCATCCCCAAATTCATCCAAATATGTAATTAGTTTCAAATATAGTTTAACCTAATTTTTTTTTCAAACATATAATAATATAACTTGGCGTAACGATTTTATTAACAATGGATGTGATTAGTATATACATATAATTTGGGATGAAATTGAGATGTACAAAAAGTTTGGGGATCGATTTAGAATGAAGATTATAGTTTTGGGATGAACCTGAAATGTTCAAAAGTTTGAGGACTAATCTATAATGATAGCCATAGTTTAGGTATGAAATTGAAAGGTTTAAAAGTTTAGGGATCAATTTAAAATGAGAATATAATTGAAGGACGTGTAATATAATTAACTCAAATTTTAAATTTAGAATAATATATGAATTTTTGGTATAAATTTTTATAAATAAGATTGTTATTATATTTAATATATGTATAAATGAAGAGATATAATATAAGAATTGTGTATCAATGGCCTCAGTTAGAAGATAATATAAGCAGAGGCAGCAAGAGCTAGGTGGAGGGCAGCGAAGCCATTCATTTGGGAAGCAGTTGTGGTCTTATCCCCCTCCCTCAAACGCCGCTCCATATATATATATTGTATTTCAACCTCCCTTCCCTTCATTTTCCTCCATTAACCCCATCTTCTTCTTCTACCTGAGAGGTGAAATGGCCTCCATACACACCGCCCTTTCTCCGGAGGTCTCCTCTTCGGCCACCAACAGAAGAAAAACAACACCCACACCTCCAACTTCTCGTTCCATATCCTTGCCCTTCACTTTTAAGTCACAGTTCAACGCCTTGGTAGTTGGTGGAAGCCCATTGCTTGGCTGTTTCAACCACTCTCTTGTTCCTCGCGCTGTCGCCACTCCCAATTCGGTTCTCAGCGAACAAGCCTTCGAGGGTCTCCCGCTTCACCAAGACGACGACGTTTATGACTCCGAGTCTGAAGCCACCAACGGCGACGAGCTTGACGTTTCCAAGTTGGGTTTGCCTCAGCGACTCGTGGATACCCTTGTCAAACGTGGCATCACTCACCTTTTCCCCATTCAGGTCAAATTTATTTGCTTTTTCCCCCTTTAGTTGTTTGTTTTTCGATGATGGTTTTTTTGTATGCAATTTGCTGGCGTATGCTATATAAAGTTCATCCTTTTAGTTTGGATGGAGAGTTACAGCCAGTTGTTCATTGAAGATAGAGCACGAAAGACCTTCCACTGAACAATAGGCAGCGGTGTTTAAATCAGAAGAGGTTAACCGATAAAATCCGCCATAATCCCATAATCCGATAAAATTCACCTCTGATATGCTTTTTCTTCCTTTATCTTTATGTTGGGTCTGCCATTGTTTTGTTAATACAAGTGTACTCAAGTACTTAAATTTTTGGTTTGACGCTTCTATTTAATTACGATTTTAATATTGTATATTCATTGGTTGATTTAGAGAGCTGTATTGGTACCTGCACTGGAAGGTAGAGACATCATTGCTCGTGCAAAGACTGGAACTGGCAAGACATTAGCCTTTGGGATTCCAATAATTAAACGTCTTACTGAAGATGATGCCGGACGTTCAAGGAGGTAGCATACCATATATTGAAGCCCTCCATTTTCAATGTTGTTGTTACTCTTATTGTTTTCTCATAATCTTTCTCTCTTTTTAGGATGTCTGGCCAGCTTCCGAGAGTTTTGGTCCTAGCTCCTACTCGGGAGTTAGCCAAACAAGTGGAGAAAGAAATTAAAGATTCTGCAGCTTATTTGAACACGGTTTGTGTTTATGGAGGGGTTTCTTATACTATTCAGCGAAGCGCTCTTTCCCGTGGGGTTGATGTAGTTGTTGGGACTCCTGGTCGAATCATTGATCTTATAGAAAGTAATGACCTCAAATTGGGGGAAGTTGAATATCTGGTCCTTGATGAAGCTGATCAGATGCTTGCCGTTGGGTTCGAGGAGGATGTCGAAGAAATTCTAGAAAACCTCCCCTCAAAGAGGCAAAGCATGCTTTTCTCTGCAACCATGCCTTCTTGGGTTAAAAAGTTGGCAAGAAAGTACTTGGACAATCCTCTGAATATTGACTTGGTACTTTCATCTCTATGTAATATTGGAAATGCTTATTCAAGCTGTTTTTTAACATGTTACTTGTGTTTCTTTATTGATGATGATGATGAACTTTATATTACTAATTGTCAATGGTGAAAATTAGTCTCTGTCCCCATTCCCGACCACACTGTTGGGATGGGAGAACTAATGCATTGTTGAGAAAGTTAATAAATTTGTGTTACTCAACATCCTTTTACAGGTTGGAGATCAAGATGAAAAGCTTGCTGAAGGGATCAAACTTTATGCAATATCAGCCACTGCAACTTCAAAGCGGACCATTCTTAGTGATCTCATGACAGTAAATAATTTATCTTCTCAAACTTTATCTCATTGGTTTCAGCGTTTCTTTGTATTTTTGCTATAAATTGAAGCCACCAATGAAATTTGTCTTTTTATATTTAATGAGTTTTCTTTTTTTTTTGATAGAAAGGGCCTCATTAAAATCCTCCTTCAATCCCTCCATGTTATGAGAGTAACATGAAGGAACAACGAAGGAGGAAAGGAGAGCCAAGAAAACTTTTATTCACAAGAACCAGATTACAAGATTGAACAAACTCCTACACTTCCAACGGAAGAACATAAAACTTAACACAAACATCCAACAAAACAGGGAGGAACAATTCCTGTTAAACAACACCACAATAACCAAAATCACCCTATCCCATCTTTTTTATATTTAATGAGTTTTCTTCTTCATACATGTGACGTGAAAATTCTTTTTCGAATAGAATTTTAGCATATAAGACATTAACCTATTATTACATCATTCATTATGAAATTACTTTTGTTTGTGTTGAGTTTTTTCTCCAGTATGTATTTTATATTAGGAGACATTATAGAGATGCTTACTCCAATGTAAATGTTTTGATATTATCCAATGTAAGTAGCATCTACTTTGTTGGCTCGCATGTGTGGCATCAGCCATCGTATCATTAATTTTCCTTTAAAGATTCTTCAGGATGGCATGGAATATAGTTTGAATTGTTATTCTTACTTCGGGCCTTTGGTCCTCAAAATCTCTTTAGTTAACTTTCTTTTATGTTTGCATTATGCCATAAGCTTTTCAAAAAACCAACTGCTTAAAATTAAAAGTGTTTTCCTGGCCTTGGAGTCCTATATAAGATCTTTATGCATCGACACACCCAAATATCCAGTAGCCCATATCTTATCTGTTCATGCTTTTATCAAATGTAGGAGTTGCCTTCCATATCTTGTAATTTTAGTTGTAAGCTTTTCTTAGAGGAAATTGTTTTACCATTTGTCTCTCTAACATGTTTACAATGTTGTTGCGCTACTATATTTTAACACCAGTCAAATTTCTTTATAACTGATATACCGGAGAACTGAATCTTTACCTTATCTTCAGGTTTATGCGAAGGGTGGGAAAACCATTGTTTTTACACAAACAAAACGAGATGCTGATGATGTATCAATGGCTTTAACAAGTAGCATAGCTTCTGAGGCATTGCATGGTGATATATCTCAACATCAGAGGGAGAGAACATTGAATGGTTTTCGCCAAGGAAAATTTACAGTGCTTGTTGCCACTGATGTTGCGGCTCGTGGACTTGATATCCCAAATGTTGATCTGGTATGTTGACTACACTAGCATTCTTTTCGGGCCTTTCATTTGGCACTTTATGTTCATTTGATTGTTGCTTTTACCACTTTTTGCTTTTTGCCTTTGATTCTACTTGCAAAATTAGTTTCTTAAGCTTAAAAGAAAATGAGTTATTATTTGATATTATGTAACTGCAGGAAAAAATGTCATTTTAAGTATAAAAAATGGACATGGAAGTTATGTTGATTGTTATGAGTTTGTTTGCTGATTTTTTCGGTCTTTCTTTCTCCAATTTCCATGCACCAAATTTGAGATATTGTCATAAATGGAAAACTTTCACAATTTTTTATTGTCTGTTAGTCTCAAAATGCGGACTGTGCTTTCGAAATGGCACATCAAGAAGACTGGTACTTACTACACTTTTCTTCAGGTTATCCACTATGAGCTTCCCAATGATGCGGAGACTTTTGTGCATCGCTCGGGACGAACTGGACGTGCAGGGAAGGAAGGTTCTGCAATTTTAATGTATACTAACAGCCAAAGGCGAACTGTCAAAACTCTTGAACGTGATGCTGGATGTAGGTTTGAGTTCATTAATCCTCCATCTATGGAAGAAGTTTTAGAGTCTTCGGCCGATCAAATTATTGCTACTCTAAATGGAGTTCATCCTGAGTCTATAAAGTTCTTTACCCCAACTGCTGAAAGAATAATTGAAGAACAAGGGACAAGTGCCCTTGCAGCTGCGATTGCCCACCTAAGTGGATTTTCCCACCCTCCTTCGTCCCGATCTCTTATTACCCATGAACAGGTAAACTATAGTACAGTTTATCTTGCTTTTAATTTTCATTTGGATCACTCAGATTGCAAAATTACATTCAAGTTTGCTTGCCTATGGGACAACCTAGCACTTGATATAAGCACTTTTGATTCGAGTTTTGAAGTTCAAATCTTTGCAGGAGTTGATGAAAACCATGTTGAAGTTTTCAATTTTAACTACCTTTTAGTGAGTTAATTAATTTAGCCTGTTGCTTAATCGGTTGTGTTGCAGGGATTTGTTACGCTGCAATTGATAAGAGATGAAACATATTCTAGAAGGTTCCTGACTGCTAGGTCTGTCACCGGGTTTCTTTCTGATGTGTACCCTGCGGCTGCCGATGAAGTTGGGAAAATACACCTAATTGCAGATGAGAGGGTCTGTATCAGCAAACCATTTTCTTCTCTGACCGATGAATTTTCTTTGCTCGAGACTTAAGAATGTATTTGTTATCAGGTTCAAGGAGCAGTGTTTGATCTCCCCGAGGATATTGCGAAAGAGTTGCTGAGTATGAAAATACCGCCCGGAAACACCATCACGAAGATCACTAAGGTTGATTCTGGATATTGGCTATATTAGTGTCATCTAACTTACCTAAGTTCCTTGGGCAGTCGCCTTGCACGAAACTAAGCTGATCTTGTGTTTGCATTTCTTCTGGCAGTTGCCTCCTTTGCAAGATGATGGACCTTCAGGAGACTTTTACGGCAAATTCTCTAGCAGGGAACGTTTCTCTAGCAGGGATCGTTTTTCACGAGGCGGATCCAAGGAACGAAGAGGTGGTTTGAGGACTTCCAGGGGTTGGGGCAGTGGCCGAGATTCTGACAATGAGTTCCAAGGTGGAAGAAATAGCTGGTCCCGATCTTCGAGAAGCAGTAGGGATGACTGGCTAATCGGTAGTAGCAGCAGATCAAGGAGACCACCCTCCGGTGACAGGCATGTATTTTCCTTATAATCTCCCATGATAGAACTATCGATACATGCAGCACCAAGATTTATCAAGACCGTCCCCTAAATATGATGATAATCCAACTATGATTACTGGAATCGATATACACAGGCACTACATATACGATTTGAGGTTGACCTGTTTCTTCATTTTTGCAGGAACTTCGGAGGTTCATGCTTCAACTGCGGGCGACCAGGGCACAGGTCAGCCGACTGCCCCGAGAAGTCGGACTTTTAGTATGCTTATGTTGCTGTTTGGGGCACTTGGTTTTTTTGACAGATATTGGCATTCACTGTATGATCTTGATGGTGGAGACGCCGTTGCCGATCTGCGAGGGAACTCTACTGATGTTTTTAGTTAGCTTTTGTTGGTAATTCAGTCATTTGATATTTTACTCATTTTAGTGATTTGTAGTTATATTAAGAGAAAAATGAAAGATGATAATATATATAGATATCCTTAAATATGAATATTTAATACTCAGTCTAAAAAAATTAATAATTTAACACTAGGAAACTATGAAATATATAAATAAAAATATTCTAACTTTTTTTCACCGAAGTAACTCATAGGGAAAGAAATTAATAAAAAGAATGAATAAGGTTTCTATTAAAAACTTTAGGTCCATTTTTTTATTGCAGGTATTGCAAAGTTAAAGATGATTCTCTCAATTTAGTTTATTTTATTCGTAAACGTTATGATTTATACTTCTGACATTGCTTAAGGAATTTAGTGTTTTATCAACTGATTGTTGGTAATTAAAATATATATATTAATGTACTTATATAATTTTTATTAATTTTATTTTAGAATAATTACAGAAATAAAAGTAAGAAAATAATTTGTGAATTTTCGTAGTGGTTGAGTATAGGATTGCATCGAAAATGATAAGATCTATTTAGAATAAAATAAATATTTCATTTTAAGGTAAAAGAAGGCTAATTTTTTTTATATTCCTATACTCTAATATTAAAAAGTATTTAATTTGAGTTATTAGTAGACTTTTAAATGTCACGTTAACACTTTTCTCATTTTTAATTAATAGAAAAACGTATCTATTTAAAAATAGAATTTTGTGTTTAAGTTAAAATTAAATTATCAAGATTTATATGAAATCTCGAAATTAAAATTAAATGTAGATAAATAAAGTTTGAAATAAATTATAGATCAGACATATTAAGGGTTCTCACAACATACATACCCATTATAACATTTAATCACTATTCCCTGCAAGATCTAACTGAGACTCCTCTTAATATGTGTTAAAATTAAATATGTTATTTATTTTTAAAATTAGATTTAGAACAAGTTAAATTATATCACAATGAGGGTTAGATCGAAGTCGAATTATACTTTTATTGATTTGATCTAAATACAAAGGGAAATAAATGATCATTATTAAAACACATTACAAGTAAATCAACCCAACACATTGAAAAGAGATTACGAAATTCATAGGAAACTAAAGACGACTTCAAATCAACCAAAACTAATAACCAAGACACATTTTCATCACCTGCCGCAGACACGGGTGTAAGTCCCGCAATTCTGCGTCGTGACGGGGTGGTTCGGGGTTGGGAGGCAGCTATAAGGCTGATATCTGCCGCAATTCACAATCGGTTGACCGCCATTGCCAACATTGCGGGTCCAACTTCCACCACTTTGAAGGATCCTCCTGAAATGAGATTCTATCAAGAACTCCAGCTCGTTGTCGTGGCTGGCGATGATCGAGACGGTGTCATTGGCTTCCGTCGAAACAGCTATGGAGGAATCCATTAAATTGCCGATAATCAGCACTAAAATTGTAAGATAAAGACATTTTTGCTTCATTTTCTTTCGCTTCTGGTATGACAATCATGGCGCAAACAGGTCATTTTAAGGTTGGGGAATCTAAAATGTCAACCTTCCTAAGAAGGGAGAACATGCTACATAATAATAAAAACCAAGTCCCACATCGCTCCCACTTCCAACATTTTTTACATTTTTAATTGCTTGTAAACAATGGAAATATTTTATATAAGTTTCACATTCTACAATAGTTAATTATATGAGTTAATTGCACCATATGTCCCCAAACTATAACTTTCATTTTAAATTAATCCTTAAACTTTTGAATATTTCAATTTCATCCTCAAACTACAATTCTTATTTTAAATTAGTCCCTAAACTTTTGAATATTATAATTTTATCCTCAAACTATAACTCTCATTTCAAATTATTCCTTAAAATTTTGATCATTTTAATTCCATCCGTAAACTATTTTTTATTAACAATGGATGTGATTAGCGTATATGTATAGTTTGAGATAAAATAGAAATGTTCAAATAGTCTGGGGACCAATTTAGAATGAAGGTCATAGTTTGGGGATGAAATTGAAATGTTAAAAAGTTTAAGGACTAATTTAGAATAATAGTCATAGTTTAAGGATGAAATTAAAATATTTAAAAGTTTATAGACTATTTTAAAATAAAGGTTATAGTTTAGGGACACGTGATGCAATTAACTCTATTTGTAATAATATTTTCATCATATTTGAAGTACTTTTTAAGCTTTTCATGCTTTTATGAGAAAATAATCTTAGTGATAAAAAATGTCTTATAATATACAATTTAACCAACTTTTTTTTGATTTGCCAAATTGACCAACAAAATCGCAATGCGAAATAAAAATCGCAACGCGATCTCCAGAATCGCAAATCAGTTCCCAGAATCGCAACGCGATTATGAAGAATCGCAATGCGATAGTACAAATTCTCATTGCGATTTTTCATAATCGCAACGCAAATATAAAAATCGTAACGCGAACATATAAATCGCAACGCGATTCTGACTATCGCAACGCGATTCTGACTATCGCAACGAGTATCCGTAAAATCACAACGCGTATCCGTAAATCGCAACGAGAATACGTAAATCGCAACGCGTATTTGTAAATCGCAACGAGAATACGTAAATCGCAATGCGTATCCGTAAATCGCAACGACAATACGTAAAATCGCAACGCGTATCCGTAAATCGCAACGCGATTTTTAAAGCGCCATTATAATCGCTACGCGTATTTTATTTTCAAATTCCAAACACGAATATTAATTATCGGAACACTGAACCGTCCACAGTATATCCCGTAATCGCAACTCATAACCTAAAACCTAAAACAAATCACAACTCAGTCCCATCTCCATCTCTCACTCTCTACGGCGAAATCCGTCCCCATCTCCGAAGATTTCCGTCTCCATCTCCGGCGAAATCCCTCACAACCATTCACGGTCAGAAATCCCTCACAATCATTCAGAAATGGAAAATCAACCTCCGAGGGTTAGTTTTTTAAATTATTTTTATTTTGAAATTTTTGCATTATTTTAGGTTTTTCATATTGAAATTGATGATAAGTTTACTGATAATTTCAATAATAGATTAATCATTTCACTTAGATTTCTTATTAAATTCATTCGATTGCTGCCAATACTGTTAAACTGTTTAGTCTTTAACCCTGTGAAGTTAGTATTTATCTTTGTTTTGTCTTTTGGTTGAAGTAATGCAATCCATTAAAGTTTCAATTTGCAGAAGAAGAATAGTTTCTAAACTTAAAATCGCAACATGAAAATGAAAATCGCAACACGAAAATGACTATCGCAACGCGAGAAGTAAAAATCGCAACGAGAGAATCGCAATGCGAAATGAAAATCGCAACACGAAACCAAAATCGCATTGCGATTTTAATTTCGCGTTGCGATTCTCTCTTTGCGATAGTCATTTTCGCGTTGCGATTTTCATTCTCTCGTTGTGATTTTCATTTCAACCAAAAGACAAAACAGTGTTGCAAATTTTAGTTTCAAGAATAAACTACTACTCTTTATGTTTATTGTTTTTGGTATATCTTCACAGTGTAGTTTTTGGTATATCTAACTTAGTATGTTTATTGTTTTTGTAGAAATTTTTTTTGCCTTCATTGACATTAAGGAATAAAGTTAGCCTAGCCACTACAATTGCTTCGAAGCTTTCAACTGCACAAAAAAAATTGTTTGAGGAAACCTGCTTCGGGCCATGGCTGAGAGTACAGCATCCGGGTGGAGATGCTAATTTGACCCATTTGTGGCTTCAGACCATGACTAGCGATCTACCCGACAATATACAACGTGGTGAGGAAGAGATATGGTTTCATTTTCCACCGGTGTATACTTGTTTTGGGCGGAAGGAGTTCTGCTTAATCACCGGTCTACGATTCGGACACGATGATGTAGGCCGATACACTCGTCATATCACCCACCCATCATGGTTATCCCGGGTTTTTCTTGATGAGTCAATAGAGAAGCCGAACTTACACGTCGAATACCTGAAGAAATTGTTTAATAAGAAATATGGTTTTACTCGGATGAATGACGTCGATGTTGTCCGAGTATGACTTCTAGTACTTTTGTATGCCGGCTTTTTAGGCAGAGAGGTCAGACAACCTATTCCTCAGGAGCTAATATTATTGGTAGAGGACCTAAATGCATGGAATCTGTTTCCGTAGGGTTCGTATATATGGAAAACTACCTGGACTAAGTTGTCGTCTGCCTTTAATGACCGTAAAAGTTTGCGTGGCGATGGGTCGAAATACACTTTGTCAGGCTTTGTTTGGGCCTTTAAAGTAAGAATTTATATATAATGTTTTCAAAATTATAATTAATTATTTAACAATTACTAATGTTTGTTATTATATTGTTTGTAGATTTGGATATTCAAGGCTTTCCCCAGCATGCAGACATATGCATTAAAAACTTCAAATGATATTCCTAGGGCTATTTCTTGGAAGAGGAAACGTCTGTTGGATTGGGAAGACTTAATACCATATGCGACAATAAATAATGTAAGTTAACACAAATATTATCATATATAAACAAGTTATTAATAGTAGATGTTTAACTTTGTTTGAGTTTTTATATTTTTAGGAGGCCAACACTCCATTACAGAGACTGACACCCACGGAGGCTGAGCTTGCCACTGATTGGTGGCAAGCTAGTCAGCGTTTTTTTGATGCCACGAATGATGAGCAGCCTCCACTTCCTCCACTTCGAGAGCCATCACCTCACCCAGAGCCATCACCTGATCGACCCGACTATACACCTCTACAACGAGAGCAATCACCTATCCCGTCACATCATCTAGCCTCATCTCCACCATCAACTCATGATAGGCGATCGGCAAAGATGCCACGACTTCTATCTCCCTGTTCTCTACCTCCACCTCCACGGGATGAGTCAAGAGAGTTACGTGATGAGGTCAATGCCTTGCGTGAGGAGATAGATACTCTACGCGATAACGATGGTGCATGGCGTGTGGAGGTGTCTACTTTACGTGGTGAGGTTGTCCCTCTACGTGAGATGGTAGTATCGTTGCAGAATGAGGTTCA